AAACCCACCAGCCACTCCTTGGAAGGAAGATTGGGCAATCTACTTCTGTAGAGATACCGCCTCAGAAACCCAAGGAGGGGTCTCTATGAGTCAGAGACAACACAACAGCACACAACAACAACATATATGGCTTTGTACTGTCCTCTTTGAAATTCATTGCCTTTTTTTTGATCATTTCACCACTTACTCAATGTAATTTCCATGTTTGTCTTTCAGTGTAGCTTCATATTATCTGTACCATTCAAGTCAGTGATGCAAATATTTTAAAAGTGGGCCTAGAGGAGTCCCAGAAACACTGGCAAAATACCATTGTTGATGTTTCTTAAAATATACTGTGATACGCAGCCAGGCTGAGCAGTAAAGAGCTGCTTTCTGGTTTCTTCTCCTGGAGTATATTTTATACTCTTAGGCTCTGTCCCTTGCACTACCAGAGTTTGGTGCCTGTACCGTCACACAGTTGTGTAAAACAGCAAAGAACGCTTTGTCAAGCAATCCATACTGCTGTCAGATTTGATCTTAATCACTGCCTTGTATCTCTGTTTATAACTCATAGTGGCTCTCCTTTGCCTGCTCAACTAAATTACAGACTTTCTAGTATGACATTCAAAGTACATTTTGGCTTCAGTCTCCCTTTCTTGCCAGTAACTTTATTACTGTGTATTCATACAAAATGAACTACTTGGCCATTCCCCGAGTATCTCGTACTTTCTGGGGCCTCAGTTTGTTTGCAGTGTTTGCTTTACTTAGAACACTCTGAAGTTTCTTCATCTGCTTTTTTAATTAACACCATGCCTACTTTTTAAAATTTTTTAATTTTTGTAATTGTGATTTAGGTGAAAGTTTACAGAGCAAATTCACTTTCCATACAGCAATTCACATACACTTTGTCTCATGACATTGTACCATACTTACTTTTTAATAAGATCATTTTCTTTCATGTTACTGTTTTTCTGGATTTCTTCAGCTAGATTTGATCTCACTTCTTCCTCACCTCAATCTTTATACATTTTTAGGCATTTACTGTGTTTAAGGAATGTTTTTTAGATGATCTTATATATTGAAAAGTGAAATTGATGTATGGATAGCATTTTCTAATCTAGTGCTACTCAGAGGCCCATTCTAATGAGATAGGGTTCTTGTGTTAGAAAGTAAATACATTGCTTCCTTCATTGAGAAAGTCTTACTACCAAGATAATAATAATAATCTGAACTAACATATTTGATTGAAATTCTAGTGTAAGCTCCTTACTTAGTTGCTGACTGTAGCAAAGCTTGTGTGCTAGCAGCTGTTCTGCACTTCTATTGTTATTGTCTACTTTTTCCTCCTTTAAATAAAATTTTGGAGCAATTAAGGGTTTATAATGATTTATGTATTAGTTGTTGTTATTGTTAGCTGCCATCAAATTAGCCCCTGACTCATGCTGTTCCGGTTACCTAGTGCCACTCTGACAAGAATATACCACAAATAGGATGCCTTAACAAACAGGAGTTTATTCTTACAATTTGGAGGCTTTAAGTCTGAGTTCAAAGTGCCAGGCTCTAGGGGCTGGGTGAAAGTCCCTCAACCTTGGGGTCTAGCTCTGCCTCCTGTTTCCATCCCACTGGAGCTAGAGACTTTTCTTTACTCAGGCAGCCACTGACTGCTGAGGTTGCCAAGCCCAAGGTTAACAAGTAAAAAGGCATAGTCCTGATACTACCAAATCACACGGCAGGCCATTAATCCAAGTCCATTGTAAGTCCCACGGTTGGCAGAGCATGGCAGGCTGCTGAACAATGATATGGCTACATGCAAGATTCAAGGTGCCATAAGCTAGAGACCATTCCCAAAGCTGCTGCTTATATATGGGAAGCAGACCACATACCCAAAGGCAGCTACTCAGCTGCTCCCAATAGATTCCACCATGGAGTTGATTATCAGTCTCATCATGGGGAATACTACATCCAGCTGCCCAGCCACTCAGCCAGGCCCAGCCAAGTTGACACAAAAACATAACCACCACACATGCCCACTTTGTGCACAATGGAGGAAATGCTGCCTTGTCCTGCACTATACCCACGATGCATTGTGTATCAGACCATTGTGATCCAGAGGGTTTTCACTGGCTGATTTTCACAAGTAGATCACCAGGCCATTCCTCCTAGTCCATCTTAGTCTGGAAGCTCTGCTGCAACCTGTTCAGTATCATAGCAGCACTCAAGCCTGCGTCCAAGGTGTGTTGGCCAGGAATGGAACTCACATCTCCCACTTGGAAGGCAGGAATTCTACCAGTGCCATGTAGTAGTTGTTAGTTAAACAGATATTGCCAAATGCACCAGTTACTGGATGGTTTAACTAAATTGTAACTCAAAAAGCCTTTTATTAAATAATGTTTTTTATTATTTCCTAGAAACTACCCAACTCTGGCCAATATTGAAAGAAAGAAAAAGTTAAAACTTGAAAAGGAGAAGAGAGGTGCGGTATTGACTACAACACAGTATGGGTAAGTTCTTTAAAGTCATTTGCATTTTCATAAAGCAGATTTTAAACTGAAAATAGTTCTAGATTATAAAAAAGAGCATACACTAAAATATTAAAATCTCTACACTCCAGTTCTGAAATATTTGTCTTTGTAATATTTTCACTTTGACTTTAAGTAAGTAACACTTTAAATTCATATGGTTTTCAAAAATGTATACAGTGGGGGGAAATATCATTATCTTCTTGCTAAACAGTTCACTTCTTCAGAACAACCCGTTTTGTCCTTCTAGGGTATGTGTATAGCACATAGAGAATAGCTTTGTGTTTTCCTCCTTTTCTTTTTTGGAAATGCTAGCTCTGGTGGCATAGTGCTTAAGGCATTTGACTGCTAACCAGAAGGCTGGCAGTTCAAACCCACCAGTCACTCTTTGGAAGGAAGGTTGGGCAATCTACTTTTGTAGTGATACCACCTCAGAAACCAAAGGAGGACTTGCTATGAGTCAGATCCTGCTTGACGGCAGTGAGTAGAGTATTCTGCATTTTGTTTTTTTAACTAAATGATATACTTGAAGATTATCTTATATTAATATATAATAAGCTTCTTCATTTTTTAAGGATGTATGGGGTACTTGTTTCATGATCTTTCTGTAAAATGTCTAGTCTTCAGTTGTTGAGTATAGTAATATTCTGTATTAGGTTGCTTATTGTGTTTTAATCTTACATAATTTTACAAATTACAGTTGACCCTTGAACAATGCAGAGGTTCGGATGCCGACCCCTTCACAATTGAAAATCTACATAAGACTTTTTTTAAAAAATTTTTATTGAAATTTGGGTGAAAGTTTACAGAGCAAATTCATTTTCTGTACAGCAATTTGTACACATTTTGTTTCATGACATTGACTGTGATTCCCCACAGCTCTCTTCCCACTTCCTCCCTGTAGTTAGTTAGCTCTTCCCTGTGTCCTTTCCTCCCATGCACTCCCACCCCCTAAGCTGTCTCCATGTTCAAACACTGCCTTCTGTTCTCCCACGATTGATCCGCGTATAACTTTTGCCTCTCCAAAAATTTAACTACTGATAGCCTACCGTTGACCAGAGCCTTACCAACAATGTAAACTGTCCTGATCATAAATCCAACTGCATTTGCACAGAACAGTAGAGTTAGCCTATCCCTTCCTGTCTTAAATGCTGGTTCTCACTTCTCTTCCTTACTAATTTCCTTTGTGGCATTTTTTTTTTTTTTTTTCATAATAGGTCACTTTTGTCTGCATTAAAAACCTGTTCAGACAGATATCCTTTCTCCTGAATCATTATTTTAATGATGTCTGGGGACTCGTCTGTTTCTTCTGAAGAGGAGCAGGAGAAGCTACTTCTCCTGTTATCTTGACAATTTTTAAGCCAAACCTCTTTTTAAAATTATGCAGCTTTCCTTTGCTGGATTAAATTCTCTAGCTTTAGATCCTTCACCTTCCTTTTGTTTTAAGTTGTCATATAATGACTTGACTTTTTCTGAATCGTATTAGAATCTATATATATGCCTTTGATATAGCAATCCTGTGCCCACATAGAAGTTGTGTTTTCAATATGAGATAAAAAAAAGTATTTCGTGAAAATTTCAACATTTTCATGCCTACTGACAAAGCTGCAGTAACAGCTTCACAATTTCCTTTTCTGTTTTTATGATGATCCTTACCCTGGATTTATTTATCTTAAAATGGTAGGTAACCACAGCTACAAATCTCATTTTGTGCTACATATCAAGCACTTAAACTTTTTTATGCAGTGTCATGACTTTTCTCTGCAGAGCACTTCCAGCATCACTAGTGACACTTTGTATGGGTCTCATGGTGTCATTCAGGGTTGTGGTATTGCACTAAGCATCATGGAAGATATTCAAGAACCATGAGAGGTCACTTTTTACTGCAATATGCACTTTTCTTGAGTAACAAACTGCTCATGTGGGGATGGTTAGCATAACATGGCATTTTAAGGAGATACAGGTAACACTTGAGCTCACAGCAGTAGCAACAAGAGATGGCTACAGAATTACTACAGTAATAAAGTATGCACAACAGTTAATTTTATGCAGTTATGACTTAATACTGCATCTTTACATTTATTTACATTTCTCTTGATTGCAAACAGTGCCTTGTACTGTGTATAAGTGTGTGAAAGTTTTGATAAATTTTAACTTTTTGTAATAGATTGTGTATATCTTATGGTAGTAAATGATCAATTTTACAGTCCATTTATTGAAAAAAATCAATGTATAAATGTACCTGTGCAGCTCAGACTCCTGTTGTTGAAGGGTCAACTGCATTTTTTCTTTGCTTGTTCTAGTTACTACTGTGAGAGGTGTGTTAAAAATACTAAACTGCAAAATTTACCTAGTTCACCTTTGAGATAGTCAACTTTTGTTTTACATATTTTAAAGTTATACTATTACTATATACAAATGTAAAACTGTTGTCTTTTTTGCATTGACCCTTTTAACAACATTATGAAGTATCTTTATGTCTAGTATGATACATACTGTATTAACATCTACTTTGTCTAGTGTTAATATTGTTATCCCAGATTACTTTTGGTTGGTGTTTGGGTGGCATATTGTTTTCCAGCTTTTTCCATTTAAACTTTCGGTGTTTGTATATGTAAAGTATATCTTTCATAAAGTGTATAATTTGATAATTTTTTTATATATATAATCCAGATTAAATATCTTTTCTTAACTAGTGTTTAGTTCATTTATACTTAATGTAATTAGTGTTATATTTGGGTTTTAGTTCTCCAACATCTTTTTTTTGAGCATTTAAAAAATAACTGTTTTTTTTAATCTCCCTAGATTATATACATCTATGTTTTTAGTTATATTACATCTTTTCTAAATATTTTTAAACATTTATTAATTAAATTTTTTCCTTTCAATTGATTGTTAAGTAATGGAGTAACAGAACAACTATGCCCTCAAAGGTGAGGTGGACTGTAATATCAGATACCACTTCCTCAATGAGATTTTATTGATCTTACCAGTTAAGGATCATGCTAAATTATTATTTATTAGTGAATATCTTAAAAGTCATTTAAAAGCCAGCTGTGATCAGATTCTGGCCAAGCATAGGGAAGACATCTATGAATGGAAGGCCAAGGAAGGTAATGTCTCTCATTGTCCTCATAGGGACAGTGGGCCAGAGGCAGAGACCTTACCTGTTTCATCTGCTATAGCAATGTTGAGTTCTTAGCTTGACATCTATGAATGGCTGTCAGAGATTGGGCTATGCTTTTCTGTAAGATTTAAAGTATATATTTGGTATTTTGGAAAGAAATATTCTAAGGCTCATGATGACTCCAATAAACTATTAAGAAAGTCTTCATTACAGAGATGGTAACTGCAATATGTTGACAAACTATTTAGAAAATGTTACTATGTTACTATGATAATAACTACCATTTATTAGGGGCTTGGAATATTACCTTGCTCTAAATGCAAAGCACTTTATGTATATTATCTTACTTTATTCTCTCTGTATTCCAATGTTTCCCATTCTACAAATGAAGGAGGACATAGGCTAAGATATTTTCCAAGGACACAGATAGTAAGTGGCAAAATTGGCATTTGAACCCAGATCTCTAAATTTTATATTCCTAATTGCAGTCCCCCAAAAAATATATTTTGCCTGATGTTTTAGATTCCTAGTGCTACTATAACAGAAGTACCACAAGAGGGTGGCTTTAACAAACAGAAATTTAGTTGAGGGGGCTGGAAGTCTGAATTCAGGGTGCCAGCTCTAGGAGAAGGGAAGGCTCTCTCTCTCTCTTTTGTCTCTGGGGGAAAGGTTCTTTGATTCCCTGATGATCTTCAAGTGATGTGCCATCTGTCTTCTCCCTTTTCTGCTTGCTGCTTCTCTGCCTAATCTGCTCTTTTCAGATCTCAAAAAGTGATTTGGCTTAAAACACATCCTACACTAATATTGCCTTATTAATATAACAGAGAAAACACATCCCAAAATAGGAGTATAACCACAGGTTTGTAAGGGTCAGGATTTACAACACATATTTTGGGGACATACAGTTCAATTCATAACACCTTAAATGACAAATTAGAAAAGGCAGTGTATCTTTGTAAAAACTTGTCCATCAAAGGGTCTAAAACAAAAAACCAAACCGACTGCCATTGAGTTGATCCCAACTCATAGCAACCCCCACTGGGTTTCTGAGGCAGTAAATCTTTACGGAAGTAGATTGTCCCCACCTTCCTTCGATGGAGTGGCTGGTGGGTTTGAACTCCCAACCTTCTGGTTAGGAGTCAGATGCCTTCGGCACTATGCCACCAGAGCTCCACCAAATGATAGCTAGTATTATTAACTGCTGAGAATGCATATGATGAACTTTTTTTAGTGGTCTTTGTTTTTTCCCTATACCTGATTGAGAGTAGAAGATGCTTATATGTATTTTATTTCTAAGAGATGTAGTTGTGGTGGTTGAGAGAACATGTGATTTGAGCTGTTACTTTGCTAGATCTAGGTTTATTCTCTGTAAAATGAAGAGAATGGTATCTGTTTCATCTTTTTCAAAGGTTTATCAGTACACCACACAAGGCATTGTATTTGTAAATGCCTCACACCCTTTAAGGCTCCTAAAAATGAGTAGACAAGAGTTAATGTACTTTTTAAACTGCAAAACCAAATCCTACCATCAAGTTGATTCTGATTCATAGTGACCTCTGTTGGATTTCCAAGGCTGTAAATCTTTATAGAAGCAGACTGCCTCATCTTTCTTCCATAGAGCAGCTGGTGGATTCAAACCACCAAACTTTTAGTTAGCAATCAAATGCCGTAACACTGCACCACCAGAGCTCCTTTATAAACTCTGTGAAACTCCTTTATTTTATGTACACTAGGAATGAAAGAATACTGCCAATTGGATTGACCTGCCATTGATTATACAATACAGCTCAATTTCAGAGGGATTCTCTATGGGAGGAAATATACGTTAGAACTGATAATGAAGTATGATATATTGTAGTGTGCTGCCCTATTAAAGTTCTATCTTAGAGTTCTCTGTTTAGAAACCATTGAATTTATTTTTTTTCTGTTCTCTAATGCTGATGCACTAGGCCATAGGTGAGTCACTTGACAGCTAGGTTTTTTCCCATTTAGTGCTGTTGTTGTTGTTAGGTGCTGATGAGTTGACTTCAACTCATAGTGATGCCATGTACAACAGAACAAAACACTGCCTGGTCGTGCGCCATCCCCACAATCCTGGCTATACTTGAGTCCATTGTTAGGATGGACTCTGTCAATCAATCTTGTTGAGGGTCTTCCCCTTTTTCATTGACCTTCTACTTTACAAAGTGATATCCTTCTCCAGGGAATGGAGATATTTAGTAGTATTTATAAAATTTTTCTTAAAAAGTCAGTGCCTTTTAAATTAAGAACTATATTTTTCTCACTCCAGAAAGATGAAGGGGATGTCCAGACATTCACAGGTAGCAGAGATCAGAAGTCCTGGCAAACATCACAGATGGAAAAATGACAGAGGTGGACATAGAGCAACAATTGGAATAGGCAGTCCCTCATGTGAGTCAAAAGCTGAAGATCCACTTGAGGCAAATGTAGATCCTCTTGGTGTTTTGGCAGACAATGATTCTGGTAAGCTAAACAGAAAACTCTTTTGTGAGTGTATAGAAAATAATGCTGAAGCTGACTATTTACAGTCTTGTTTGCAGAATGTTTAACAGCAAATGCAGGTAGTTCCTGATTTCCAGCAGGGCTCCATTCTAATAGCTCTGTTATAAGTGGTTAGAATACCTCTTTTTGTTTTTCCAGTTTTCATTATTATTGTCTTTTGTTAATCAGTATCTTTACAGATCCAATCTTTATTTGTCGTTGGGGATTAGAAACATTGCGTATAACCTTACAGATATATTTTCATACATCAGTACATACATTAGAAAAATACATAAATCAAAAATTTACTCCAGCGATCAAGAAGAGTTGGATGACATTGGCACTTTGTCAGTTGTGGTCGTAACTCCACCGTGGAAGGTTCTGGATCGTTTGAATCATCCCTGTGAAGGGAATGGCATGTCTAGTCAGAAAGTTGGTTGGAGTTGTCTTATGGTCCTTTTCTTTTTTTCTTTATATGTTTTGCAGTTAATATCTCACTGCTTCCCAAATCTGCCTGTTGACTGTCACAAAGCAATCAGCATTTGGGTCCATGTTTTCAAACAACTGAAGTTCCTGATTTAGTTTAGAAAGATAAATTAATATGGCAGTGTTTTAAACAGTAAGTCATAAAATTGAACATCTGAGAATGGTAATATCAGCATATTACATGCTGCAACATTGTTTGTAGTACATATTACTAACGATAAGATGTGCAAAAACCAAAAACAATAGACAGTTGTAAGTGTGGTTCATCATAACTGTTGTTGTTGTTATGTGCCGTCGAGTCGGCCCCGACTCATAGCGACCCCTCCTTGGGTTTCTGAGGCAGTATCACTATGGAAGTAGGATTGCCCAACCTTCCTTCCGAGGAGTGGCTGGTGGGTTTGAACCGCCAGCCTTCTGGTTAGCAGTCAAGTGCTTTAGCCACTATGCTACCAGAGCTCCTTCATCATAACTAGGATATATCATAAGTCAGAGACTACCTGTATATAAAAAAGTAGAATGGTGTTTTTACTTTTAATAGACATGTCTTGTTAGAAACCTAATTTCAGCACATCTTTTCTGAGTCTTGGAGGTGGGTACATGGGGGCAGGCAGGGTATAGGAGAGAGATATTTATTGGATAATTTTCATAGTATGATGCAATCTTGGGAATTTTCTTATGATTGTTTTAAATGTAGTGATACTGTGGATTCAAACTGCCCAAGTATGGGGGATTTTCCCCCCACTTATAAAGCAATAATTCCTGTGGAAGCCAGTAATATTTATGTTACTAAGCACAAACATGATCTGAGTAAATAATGTCAGTTAATTGTATTTGAGTAATAGTGTTCTTCCTCAGAGTGTAGAATATATTTAAATATGTTTATATTTTATTCTAGAGTAAACTTAATTGCTGCAGCTTAAGGTATGTTTATTGCTAATTTATAAATTGAAATACTAAAGTACCAGGATTCTATCACGTATGGATGTCGTTCAGCCTCCGTGACTCCATTTCCTCTCCTGGGAAATGAAAACTGGAAAAAGGACTTGGGGATGGCATCTTCTGACCTCCCCTAACTTTACAAGAGGGAGACAGAATCACCATCAGTAGCCCAAGGCTTAACCCTATGAGGCCAAACATGCCACCATCCTTCAGCCTTTTTTTTTTTTTTTTTTACCAATTCTGACACCGACCGTCCCTCTCCAGGCACTCAGTACTTCTCTGCTGGGTTCGATGATTCGTTGCAGTGGCCATACAGAACTCACTGACAATACTCATGATTATGGGGTTTATTAGGGAAATACTAGGTTATAATTCAGGATCAGGAATGTGCTCAGGATACAGTTCTTTGATCAGGACAGTCTCCCCTCCGCTGTGGTCTCAGACACGCTGCTCGGCCTGGTCTCTGCCCTGCTTGGGCAAGTGTGTTACAAAGCTCCTTTAACTCTGCTGATAGATACACCTACGTGCACTCCACTCTGCCAGCAAGCCCCTGCCCAAAGGTACCCAGCTTTCTCGCTCTGTGGTCCAGGCAAGCCTCCCACTCTGTCTTATATGCTTCTTGGTTCCACTGCAGCCACCTCTCAGCTGGGTGTCTCTGCCAGGGCATCTCTGCCAGAGAATCTCTGCCAAGGAGGTCGAACACAGGGATGTCAGGTCCAAGGACGTGCTCCGCTTCACCTCCAGCTCTTCTCTTTTAATGGCAGTAAGATCCCCCTTCTGCCTTTAGGAGGGCTCATGTTAAACCTAGCAGAATGACAAAACTAACCAATCCCCACTTTAGAGTTTCTTACACTTTATTTGCATGGTCCCACCCAGTAAGCTGGTGGGAGTCACAAAGACCATGGCTAGAAAAGCCATACCAAGTAACTGACTGCACCGCAAAAGTATGTATATAAGTATTTGCATTACCTTTCCCTCCAGAAGGAGCTCTGGTGACTCAATGGTTAGAGCACTGGACTGCCAAACAAAAGCTTGGCAGTTTGAACCCACCAGCCAGTCACTCCACAGGAGAAGGGTAAGCCAGTCTGCTTCCATAAAGATTTACGCCTTGGAAACCCGATGGGGAACTTCAACTCTGTCACGTAGGGTTGGTAAGAGTCAGAATCAACTTGATGGCAGTGAGTTTAGGTTTTGGTTTTTCCCCTACGGTAACACTGGAAGGCTGTATCTAATTTTATTTGCTGGGAGCTCTGGTAGCATAGTGGCTAAGGCACTTGACTGCTAACCAGAAGGCTGGCGGTTCAAACCCACCAGCCACTCCTCGGAAGGAAGAT